GATGGAGGTGGAGCAAATCTCCTACAGGTCAATCTCCGCCGCCATAGATCGGAGACTGATCAAGGATAACGACGGTGCCGCCGGCGGCGGCGGCTCCCGTACGACCATCATCAAGAAACAATTCTATAGATTCTTACTATGGCAGGTTCTCCAATCACCCTTCTCTATTTTTCCTCTCAAAAACCCTCTTCCTTTTCCCCTTTTACCACCGTTTTCCTTTCCTCTATCTTCTCCGTTTTCCTCTTGTTCGTTTCTTCCCCACACCCGCTGCCGTATGCTTCCGCTTTCCAAATATCACTTTCCTGTATTAGCTTGATTGTGTCTGGAGGTGAGCAGAATTTGTTGAGAAAGAGGGTCGGAGGCGGTGGTTTGTTTGTGTTGGGCCTTTAATGCTTATTTTTATGTTAATTCGACTTCGAATTTGGTTGTTGTTGGTGAATTTGTGATTTAAGGTTTTTCTGATCGGTTTGTTGCAACGTACGGTATTTCCTATTGTTCCAGGGGAGAATGCTTCTCGATGAAAATTTTGGGGGATTTCGATAAATTTTTGGGGCTTGTTTTGATGTAGTGAAACCTTGGGTGTGTCTTTAATGGCTTGATTTTGTCGGCGAGCAACGAGTTTCTCTCCAATTGGCGACTGAAATCGAAGGTGAGACCGGCGTCGTTGAGTTCTTGCTCAATGTTCGCTTTAATTGGATGAGGTGGCAAAGCTTATTGATGCTTTGGATGTTCTTGGTTAATCCCTTCCCTGCGCCGCCGTGAAAGTGGTGGTAGAAGGCAGGGATACGGGTGGAGATGGAGGAGGCTATGACGAGTTTCTTCGATGAATTTTTTCGACCCATTTTCGGCCCATCAGTGGCTAAGAGTTTTCTTCAAGATCTTGTAGGTCATGATTAGAACCAGAGAGCTGGGGGAGAAGACTAGTTGGGGAAGAAGACCAAAATAGAAGATAATAAAAAATTGAAATGGAATATAATAAAAAATTGAAGTCAGACAATAATTAAAGTAAAAGGACAAATTTACCCTTCCAAATCCCACATGAATGGCACGTGCGTGAGATTCTGGTGACATTTGCCGGAAAATATCACTTTTAGGGCACCGTGCAACAAAAAAACGAGTTTAGGTAAGAACGTGCAAAAAAAAATTGTTTAGGGGGCAAAGTGCAAAATGGGTCATAATTTAGGGGGCAAACTGCTTTTTACTCTTAATTATATGCAATTGGTTTAAAAATATGGGCATATTACAAATAAGCCCATCAGTGGGAACTTATTCATAAAGAGATCCAGACAATATTCTCCTTTACCAATAAGTCCACACATGGTCCAGATTTATGTAAAGGACTAAAATAACCCCTCTTACTTTTATATGCTCCAATTTCATCCTTAACTTAATTTAACTTCAATTTGACCCCAAATTTCACAAATTATTCAATTTTGACCCAAAACTTTTTTTTTTTCACAAATTTTTTTTTTCAAAAACTTTTTTTTTTCCGCCGGATTCCGGCGTTGACTTTTTTTTTTTTTTTTTTTTTTTTTTTTTTTTTTCTTCCGGATTTTTTTTTTCCGGATTCCGGCGTTGACCGGCGGTCAACGCCGGTTTCCGGCGTTGATTAAAAATTTTTTTTTTTTTTTTTTTTTTTTTTCTTCCGGATTTTTTTTCCGGATTCCGGCGTTGACCGGCGGTAAACACCGGTCTCCGGCGTTGACTTTTTTTTATTTTTTTTATTTTATTTTTTTTTTAATTTTTTTTTTCTGTAACTTTTTTTTCCGTTTAAACAACAATATTGCTTTGAATGACAGTAATATTAACTATATTACTGTTAAACACAGTAAAAATAACGAAACTATAGTTTAACACAGTGATATTGCTATATTAATCTCTAGCACATTAATATTAACACAACAAAATTCATTATTATTGTATAATAAAGTAATATTACTATGTTGTCCGTTCAACAAATGTAAACAAAATAAAAAAAACCAAAAGAATTAATATTACTGTGAGTGACAGTAATATTACTATAGCAACAGTAATATTACAATAGTAGACAGTAATATTATTACGTTACTCCGTGAATAACTCAAACAAACAAAATATCCAAACAAAAGAATAATATTGATGTGGTTGACATGAATATTACTATAACAAACAGTAATATTACCGTCAACCACAGTAATATTATTGTGTTTACAGTAATATTACAATAATAGACAGTAATATTAATACAAACACCACAAAAAAATAATAATATTGATGTTGTTGACAGTAATATTATTGTGTTTACAGTTATTTTACTGTCAACGACAGTAATATAATTACGTTGACTTGTCAACAAATAAAAAAAAATAAAAAAAAATAATAATAAATAAAAAAATATAATATTGCATTAATTTACTGTCAACGGCAACACAATTACATAAATGTAATGTCAACGGCAGTACAATTACGTTAATTAACAATCATTGACAGTATAATTACGTTAATTTACTGTCAGTGACAGCACAATTACGGTCAACGTTTAGCGGCGGACGTGGAAAAACAAAACAAACCAAACAAAACAAAACAAAAAACTTAAAAAAACCCTAAAAAAAGAGACCGCCGGAAACCGGCGAAAAAATCCTGAAGAAAAGAAAAGAAAAAAAAACGGAAAAAAAAAAAAAAAAAAAAGTCAACGCCGGAGACCGGCGTTGACCACCGGTCAACGCCGGAATCCGGCGGCAAAAAAAAAGTTTTTGAAAAAAAAAATATTTTTGGGTCAAAATTTAATAATTTGTGAAATTTGGGGTCAAATTGAGATTAAATTAAGTTAAGGATGAAATTGGAGCATATTAAATTATACTCCAAAAAAAAGTCAAAATTGAATTTTTGTGGTCAAAATTGAACTTTTATGGACAAAATTGATTAATTTGGATTACAATTAAGAATTGGGTATAAATGGTTGAGGGTAATATTGGGATATACATGAATGTTTCCTTTAGTTATAATAAATATTAAAGGGATGGGCTTATTGGTAAAAGAGATATGTCCCCTAAACCTAGAATAATAAACATGTTTGGTTGGGGACTTTTGCATAAAAATCCCTAAAAATATATATATATATATAATAATAACTAACTATTCGTTTAAGTTAATAATTTATTAATTCTTGTGTTAATCTGCGAAGATATTTTTTTCCAAAATAAAAATGACGTGCATAAATCTGTTTATGTCCTTTGTGTAAAGGTGTGATGTTCTAACAATAGATTACATTTTTTTTATTTGAATTTAAATATATTTGTTTAAATAGTTATATATAAACATTTTTATGGAGAGTCATTTCTCATTTGTGTTGATGTATGTTAAATGTATTGGGATTATGAGGAAAAGACCTTTATTCCATCGGATATCATGTGTTAACACTTTTCAAATATTGAAGTTTATTCTTCTAAAAGATGCGTTTGGTTCAAATATTGTAAAGAGTTTGGTTTAAACTGTGAGTTTAACCATATTATTTATTTATTATACCGTGTAGTTTATCTTTCAATCTACTGTGTCAACAAAATTGGCGTGACATAATCTTCAAAAGATTTGGGAAAATTAATTATGTGAAATTAAATATTTTATGGAAAATAAAATAAAATATTAAAGTATAATACTTTAATATATGAGAAAATAATATTTCTTTAAACTATTTTTAATTTCCATCTAATTAATTAAATGTGTGTTCGATTTAAACTTTTGTCTAATTAAACATTAGTTTAAATAATTGAGTATTTTAAATATGTTGAAGTATTTTGTATATGGTTTCAAATTGTGACACCTTTAAAGGTGACGATAAAGCGAAAAATCGAACAAGTTCAAGAGTATTTATTTTGCAAAGTGGCAAATTATGGGGGTGCTTTATTTTGTGATCTTTAACTCAATGAGAAGGCACACATAAAACTACTTGTGTAATGACCTACTTAAGGTTAATATGGTTGTCATCGGCAAAAATTGAAGTTATTAATGAGAATGCTTCGTATGCTTTCGTTTCAAGTTTACCGGAGAACTTGTGGGGGGAATTCTTATATGTCTAATCATATATTAAATATAATTCCACACAAGAAAAATGATATCTATCCTAAGGAGTTTATGGAATGTTACAAAGTTGACTACAAATATCTCAAAATGTGGGGGTGTTTAACTATAAGTTAAATATGTTAGTATACGTCTTTGAGGGATATACTTATGCAATTGGATTTTCGATTTAAAGATAATCAATCAACAATGCATGCATATAGCTCATAAATTTAAAATGTAAGTCTAGACATATTTGTCGTAGACATAATATCGTGAGGCATTTACTCTCTAATGGAATAAATTTCATTGATTTTGTGAAATCCAAAGATAACCTAGCGGATCCATTTACTAAAGGTTTATCTCGTGTGAGAGTTAAATGTGCATCGAGGGGAATATGTTTAAAGCCTAAATAACTAAGTTACCTTATACGGAAACCTAACTTGGCGACTGGAGATCCCACGGACCAAGTTCAATAGGACAACCAGTTCTGTGTAACTTAAACAATCGTAGCACTTAGGAGTTTTAACTCCATCTTATTCCTATGATGCGATAAAAGCAACCTACGACGTTTAAAAAGGTTAGCTATTGCTTTTAATGACGTCTATATCTTGTCAAGTACAAGTGGGATATAGTAGGATACTCTTTATAGATGTGGTCACCTATGTTAGTGTGAGCTGGGTCGACTCGTTGAGAATCTTATATATAAAAGAAAGAAACGCTGGGCAACCCTAGAAAAACCCTAATGGCATATTTGTAAATTTTTGTTTTTTTTATTGTGCATATTATATCTCAATTTATTTTCTCTATTTTAATTTCCTCCTCTCCTAATTTTCAGCCCTAAAATCTCTAAAAAATTCTAATTTGGTATATATAAAATACGGTGTAGATAAACTAACAAAAATTCTAATTTCCACCTCTCCTAATTTTTAGCCCTAAAAATCTCTAATACACAACTAATTTGCATCTCTCCTAATTTTCAACCCTAAAATCTCTAATTATTTATTTTCCATCTCAGATTTTTTTGTTCCGATTTTCCCGATTCCCAAAGATTTCCAACACTTTCAACTACTCCCTCCCACTTCAACACGTTTATGTTTTCTCTTCATATTTATATCCAACCTCTCAACTTCTCAACCCATTCATATTTAGCTATTTTGCAAAGTGAAACCAGAAGATACGGTCGGTAAGGATTCTCCCTGTCATCTTTTTATTTGCATATGTATTTTTCTCATGTGTTTGTATTGCAGCCTTTCATCTTTTATGTGAATTCGTTTTCATACCCACATAGCTCTGTGAATCCTTCATTTTCCCCACTATTACCACTGCTAGACCCGACACCTGAGTTTCAACTCACTACCATTAAAAAAATTACTCGATTTCTGCCAATGTGAGCAGGCTAATTGTTCAACAATGCGGATAAAATTCAAACCCTAGAAATACATAATAGATCAGAAATTAGAGAGAGCGAAGAGAGATGTAGCCAAGGCGCGTCGGGTTCCACGCCGGCGGCTAAGGCTGTCGATGCGGACTTGGCCGCCGTCGCGCCGGTCGAGATTGAGACCGGCGTTGAAGATGTGGTGCCTGCGGCTGAGGATCCGTCTCCTAATGCCGATAAGTCTGCCTGAGGGTTTGCCTCCTTTTAAATACGCTTCATTTTTGAATTCCGATGGCAGCGTTGCCATTCATGCTGGTATGTTCGGAAAAGTTCAATATATTGTATAATTTATCTTTATTACGTATACGTATGAGGTTGAATTAACGAGTTATGTCTATGTTGCCTGGCTAATTTTTTTTTTAGTGTGTGATGTTTCATTTAGGAGAGCATTTGTTATAGATTGCTTTCTGGTGTTGGTTCTTTTTGTTTCGCTAATTGCTATATGACATGGGAGGATTTTTGTTTTACTCTTTTTTCATTTTCTTTCTCTGTTTTATTAGATTGATATTGAATTCCATTTATTTTTCTTGAATTCTTTACATCCTTAATATATTGTTCGATTTTCATATAGAATGGCGCAAAAAAGGACCAAAATGGCACAAACAACGACCAACCTCATTGATCTTAAGCCGTGTCGATTTGACTGGAAAGTGGTGGTTCGGGTTATGCGTTTGTGGAAAGTTCCTAGCAAAAGCAATCCAAATGAAATGATCAATATCGATATGGTCTTAATAGACAATAAGGTCATTATTTATTTATGCGTTTATTTCGCTTATGGTTAAAACAATATTTTTCATTATTTATTTACGCGTTTATTTCGCTTATGGTTAAAACAATATTTTGATATAATTTCTATTTTTTTTACGGTGACAAGATCCATGCTTCTATAAAACGTAATCACTTGAAAAAGTTTGAACTTATTGTGAATGAAGGTAATACCTACATATTTCAAAATTTTATGGTGGCTCCAAGCGATCCAAGATTCAGATCAACTCGCCATACTCACAAGATTGTGTTTATTAACACTACTCGAGTAACTGATTTCCTTGCTGAAAATATTCCTGTTGTCACTTTTAATTTTACGGATTTCCGTGATATCATTAATAACGGGGATGATACATGGCTTATAGGTAATTTCATTTTGGTAAATTATGTGTTCCATTAATTTATACCAAAATTTTATATTTTTTTGTATAACAATTATTTCCTTTTAGATGTTATTGGACATGTTATTGAAAGGGATGCTTTGAGAGAACTAAACAAAAATGGGCGGAGCCACAAGCTGTTGGAAGTCGGCCTTCAAGACTTATCGTAAGTATGCGTTGTATAATTTATTATTGTTTATATTTATATATGTTTCTTATTTTTTCAACTGTTATTTCCAGTGGCAACAAACTTAAATGTGCTCTATGGGACAAATATGCTGAGGAACTGTCCACACATTTGATCAATGACAAACCGGATAGCCCTATCATTATTATTTTGCAATTATGCATGGTAAAAAGTTTCAATGATAAGTACTTACATATAGTTACATGTTGATTAAAGTTAAGTTTAAGTTAATGTTAATGATCTAATTTATTTATTTGCATTGTAGGCAAGAATAGTATTTCCAACGCTTTCCACAGCAGTAAGTTACTAATAAATGAAAATTTAGAGGAACATAGAGAGTATAGAGAAAAGTGAGTTTGTTCAACATAACAAATATATTTTATATTTTATACTATCTCATAATTTGTGAGTTTCTTCAACATAACAAATATTATTTTAAACTTTTAGATTGATGATGCAAGCTGGAACATTTTCTCAATCAATTAGTCAAATATCAACTCACAGGTCCGTTGGAATTTCTGATGATTTACTTCAGACAGAACATATGACAATCAGTGATTTAATGGATTGTACAAGTGTAAGTATATTACCCTTTGTAGGTTTATTTCATAAATCATATAAGACTAATGTAAAATAATGTAAAATAATTTTTCAGGAACGTTCTGTTGCGTTGCTCGCTAAAGTAGTAGAAATAGACTGTGAGAGTAAATGGTGGTATCCATCATGCTCAACATGTTTTAGGAAAGTTGATCGTAATGGTGTTCAATTCTATTGTGAAAAGTGCATTGATAATGTTCCCGCTATCCCTAGGTAATTTAAATTTCATTTTGCTACAAACATCTTTATGTATTTAATTTTTTTAAATTTATATAAACAAATTATTACTACAGAAATCGGATTCAGGTATTGGTGTTTGATGTTACTGGATCCATTTCATTAGTGATGTTTGATAAAGTTGTTACCGAGATCATAGGCAAGAAGGTTGCAGACATTCTTGGGGATTTGGGCAAGGTAATATTAAATTTAATATGCTTATGAAATGGTAACCTAAAGCCAAATGTAATGTTTTCGATTTATCATATAATAATAAATGGTAACCCTTTTTTATAGGGTTTCTTAGGGTTGTTCCAGTAATGTTGTTGAGAAATATAGATCAGTCATCAGGATTGTGCAATGGCACAAGACTCTCAATTACTCGATTAGGAAATCGTGTTTTGGAAGCCCAAATTATCTCAGGTATTAACATTGGACATAAGGTTTTAATTCCAAGATTGACGTTAACACCATCAGATAAGAGAATTCCTTTCCACTTTCAACGTCGACAGTTTCCTATTTGCCTTTCCTTCGCTATGACTATAAACAAGAGTCAGGGACAATCTCTCCAACATGTTGGTGTTTATCTTCCGAAACCCGTTTTTTCACATGGCCAGCTATACGTTGCTTTTTCAAGGGTTACCAAGCGCAGTGGTTTGAAAATACTTATAACCGACAAAGAAGGACATACTTCAAATATTACAACTAATGTTGTTTACAAAGAAGTATTTCAAAATTTACGGTGAGTATTTACTAATTGCTCAATATTTTGAGGTATAGAGATCTATAGTTAAGTTTATCTATAGTTAAGTTGCAACTTAGATTTTTATTTTTCTCGATTATTTATTAATTCAAAATTAATAATCACTCAGCTTAGATTTTTATTTTTGTCGATAAAATTTGCTTATTTTTTATTTTTTGTTTTGTGTAGTAAGTATACTTAATTTACTATGTTCCACTGATGAATTATTAATGAATGATTGTAATAAAATTTTCATCATACGAATACATCAAATGTTTGTGTATATACTTACAACATCCAAACATGCAATTTGTTGGCCCGTGCATCGCACGGGTACAATTACTAGTTCTTATAAAAGGCTTAAATTCTCTAAAGCACTCGCAGAACCCGAGAATGTTCAAGGCCGAAATGAACACAACCGAGAACTTGAAACACGCGTGTTTAGTATGGTGTTAAGTTTATTGTCTTGGTTTACACAAACAGCCGACAATTCAAGATGAAATAATTCACTGATTGGCTAAGTAAATCCGATAAACTTTAACTAGGGAAGGTTCAAGATGAAATATTTCACCTATCCCGATGCCGTACTATTCCTAAAAGATTTTTTTGACAATATGGTCTCATGAGATGAGGTTGGAAGAATAATTTTATTCATGTGGGGGGATTGTTGGAATTTTTAATTGAATAAAATAATTAGGGTATTTCAAATAGGTGCATGTTTGGAATGAATAGGTTTCTTTCCAAACAACACATCTATTTATGAAATAACTCTTTTCAAAACAACATATCCCTTCACAAAAGGACTCTTAAATTTCTATAAATAAGACAAAACCTGATCAGTTTTGCACAAGAGATAATAAGACGTTTGTGAATATCTTCCTAAAACACTTATGTCAAAATTTCGTTCCTACGTTTCTAGTTCGCCGTGAGCTTCGAATTTGTGCAAATATCGAAGTATCCGACTGTTGTATCTTGGGAGACTACCGGGAGTGACTGTTGCACCGTAGACAGCCCGGAAATATTGTCTTAAGGACATTGCTTTTGCAAGCCTCAGTCGATTTTTCATTCTTCATATTTCCGGTAAATTTCTACTTCCAAGTAAGTGTAATTCTTATTCAACTATTTCCGCAAATTGTTATATTTATACCAACACAAACTCCGTTACGCACTAAAGGTGTTTGTTTTTTTGCTTCACTGAATAAATTTGAAACCTGTTCTGAATATGCAACTTTGCCCAGACTAGTCATTAATCGGTTTTTCGTTTTTATTTATTTATTTATTTATTTATTTATTTATTTATATATATATATATATATATATATATATATATATATATTTTGAGAAAGCTTTTATAGGATAAACCCTATTGCAATTTTTAGGGACAATTAGCCATAACCCCCTCTAGTGTTTTTTTTAATAAGGGGGATCTAGCCATATTTTCAATATTAGTAGAAAACCCACTATTTTAATAATTACCGAAAATAGCCTTCTGGAAAATATACAAATAAAATTCGGAAATCAACTATAAAGATTTTAAAACCAACTATAATATTTCCGAAATCGACTATAATTTTGATTTTTTTATTTTATTTTTCTTAATTTTAATTTTCAGTTATTTTTGGCATCTTTTCCCAAAAAACAACTATTTTTTTGCTGGTTTTCAAATCAACTATAAAAATTCGAAAACAACTATTTTCGAAAATCAATTACAATTTTGTTTTTTTTTCTTCTTTTTTCTGGCTTATTTTTTCATAATAAACTACAACAATACTGAAAATAACTATAAAAAAATTGATTTTTTCCCCAAATCAACTATAAGAAAACTCTAAAACAAACACAAAAAATAGTGGTTTACAATAGTAGATTTTACTTGAAATAAAAACAACTACAAATTAACGAAATCAAATATATAAACATCAAAATCAATCGAAATCAACTAGCAATCGAAAACAACTACAAAAAATCGAAAACAACTATAAAATATAGAAAACAACTATAAAATATTAAACTCAACTATTAAATTGTTCCTCGATCGGCCTGTAAGTAACTACGAATTCATGCAAAATTTTATCGAAAAAACATCACAAAATATCTCAAATCAAAAATTCAAAAAGTATTCGACACGCTCTAAAGCCCTAGGCACGAGATCCACCATTCACCTTTTCTATCCCTTCACTTTTTCATCTCCACTTTTACGGAGATCTGTCGTCGGCACCACCAACAACAATGCAAGAATGGGAGCAATTCTTAGCATAAAGTCCACACATGCAAATAAAAGACAACTACAAACATCGTAAATCAAACTACAAAAATAATAACAAACAAAATACAACAACAACATAAACAACTATAAAAAAGTAGCATAAATATCTAAAAAACAACTATAAAAGTAGAAAACAACTATATTATCATCAGTTAGAAAAATACTTGTATTTTATTATATTTCTTTATACAAGAAAGCCACTGATAGATACACAAAGTCAGACATCGATTCTAATTTATGAGTGACCCGAATATTTAAAGAAAAAAATACTCATCCTAATAGATATAAAGAATATACCATAATCTAAATCTTATTTATTCCTCAATGATTCGATGAACAATTTAGTTACAAAATTAAAATATTTTAAGCCCACAATTTTCTACCATAGAGAAGATCAGAATTTTCTTACCGAATTAAAATTGAATTATTTTCTATACTTTAGCCGGTGGAGCGATTGCGGCGGTCTGTGGATCGGAGACAAAGATAGATGAGGGGAAACAAGGAAGACCGTGAGGCGACGTTGGGGCAGAGATGAGGAACGGTAGACGTGGAGAGGCGGCTCGGTGGAGATGAGTAGCAGCGGCGCAGGGGAGAGAAATAGGGTTTGAGGTTTTAATATGGTAAAAGGGTAATACAGACATAAAACTAAAGATTTATATTTATTCTAAATTAAAATATTAATAGAGGGGGTTCTCACTAATTATGAAAATGAAGTTATATCCACCCTAATATATATAAATGATGTGGGGGTTCTCACTAATTATCCCCGATTTTTACTTCTTTATAAACCCATTTTTTTAATTAATATTTGTCTTAAATCCACACAAGCAAACTACCTTATATATTGCATGCCCCACAGAATTTTCCAATAAAAAAAAACAAAAAAAGAAAAGAAAAATTCTATAAATTTATGAAATCGCACCCCTAATCAATTAGCGCCATATTGATTAGCCCGATATCCCTTCCAGAATATTGTGCCCAGAAATCACGCTCTTAAAATCTCCTCGATAGAAATCTTATCTTCGATCTGTTAACACTAATATCGCTCATTAATGGAGTCTGTAATTTAGTCGAAATTATTGTGTTAAATTACACAAACCTATGGAGACGAATTAGCGACAAAAATGTTAGAGAATATTATATTATAGAACTCTCCTAATATTAGGATTCTAGTATGATTCGGTTACCTAGATTAGTTAGGATTTAGTTACCTAGTCAAACTCTATTACCTTGCAATATTTCTCTATATATATTCCATGTAATCAACCCATAACACAATGGGGGTTTCTATTCTATCTTTCTCTCCTTCTCCTATTCTATTTTTCCTATATGGTATCAAGAGCACCAGGTTTAGGTTTTTTAACCTAGCCGCCTTCCTTCTCCATGGCGGCGAAAACCTAGCCGTCTTTCTTCTCATGGCGGTGACCACCCAATCTTCTCCCTCCCCCAGTGGTGGTACTCTAATCTTTATTTTTTTTCTTTTTCTATCTTTTTCTATGAACACCACCCAAATTTTCTCCCTCCCCCGGTGGTGCATCTTCTCTATCTCTTTTTTTCTTCTTCTTCTCCATGGCTTAAAACCTAGCCGCCGTCTCTCTTCTTCTCCATGGCCGGCGACCACAAAACCAATTTCTCTCCCTCCCGGTGGTGGTACTCTTCTCTCTATCTATCTTCTTCTATGTTTTCCATGAACACCACCAAAATTTCCTCCCCTCCGCGGTGGTGCATCTTCTCTATCTTTTTTTTTCTTCTCTTCTTCTCCATGCCGCTGCCTCTCTTCCTCTCCATGGTCGGCGACCCCTCTCATATCTTCTCTCTCTCTCTCTCTCTCTCTCTCTCTCTCTCTCTCTCTCTCTCTCTCTCTCTCTCTCTCTCTCTCTCTCTCTCTCTCTATTAATACAAAAAAAAAAAAAAAAAAAAAAACAATTTATTTTCTCTCCATGTTACTATTATTTTTTTTCCCTATCATTTTGGCAGATGTTTTCACCAATGATTTCACTACTGCTGGATTTCGTGGGTTTTCTGTCCAGTCTTCACTTTTGGAGTATATTCGTTCCGACTGCGGGAGCGTGTTAGCAAGTGATTGTCCAGTCTTCACGTTCGTCACGTTTCGACTGCGGGGGCGTGTTAGAGAATATTATATTATAGAACTCTCCTAATATTAGGATTCTAGTATGATTCGGTTACCTAGATTAGTTAGGATTTAGTTACCTAGTCAAACTCTATTACCTTGCAATATTTCTCTATATATATTCCATGTAATCAACCCATAACACAATGGGGGTTTCTATTCTATCTTTCTCTCCTTCTCCTATTCTATTTTTCCTATAAAAAATCCAAAAGGATAATTCTATATACCCACTTTCTTTGAGGATTTTGCATTGTGGTTTTTGCAGAGTGGTTTTGCAGAGTGGTTTACTAGTATTATTCATTTGCTGAATTCAAGTATTCTGTTTTTTTGTATATTGTGTACAAAATGTTCTGCAAATGTTGATTTGTATTGCGTGTTTTTCCATGTATGTGGAGATAAATTGATTTTTCCGTCTCAATGAAGGGTCTGGATTCTTTTAAGCAATCACTTTCCACAACCACCGACCTCCGACTGCTATCAACAATGCACGTAAAGGATTAGTAATCATTTTTAAAAGTTTATAACGGATTCCGTTTTATACATATGCGAGGGAGGTAATAAAAAACGAAAGAAGACGAGTTTTTTCCTTTCTGCCAAATGGAGCCATTTGTGATGAAAATTTCATGCACGGTTTTGAATAAATCCACTAGCCGAATCATTATTTCTCGTCATGTCACCTTTGATGAAACTTGTTTTCTTTTTGCTGAGTCAACTCCCCCCACAAACACATTCCCTATCTCTGATATGGACAAAAACACACACCCACTATTCCTTCTCCCTGAGCCTTCGTCCAACTATTGAGACAATGCATCCAATTGTTCCAACAAAGCACCACCCTGTTCCAACAGTTTTTCAAATAGTCCTCTACCACAACCGATACCTGCTTCGCCTGAGGCACCGCCTCTCGACCACGACCAGCTCACAGCCCATTCTCCTACTCCCACACGTCCCCCTACTCACCCTATGGTGACTCGTAGTAAAGCGGGCATCCACAAACCCAAAGTCCCATTCTCTCTCATTGTGTCTTCTACCTCCCCAATCCCCACCACCTATCGCCAAGCCCTTCTTGACCAAAATTGGCGAAACGCCATGATTGAGAAATATACTGCTTTAATTAAAAACGATACTTGGAATGTTGTGCCACGTTCACTAGTGTTATTTCTGGCAAGTGGATAAACAAACATAAACTCAAGTATGATGGTTTCCATGAGCGATACAAAGCACTGTGGGTTATTCGCGGGTTCCACCAGCAGGCTGGTATCGACTTTGACGAGACCTTTAGCCCAGTTGTCAAACTTGCCATTGTTAGAACAGTTCTCAGTATTGTTCTCTCACGATCATGGACGATCCACCAACTCGATGTGAAAAATTCCTTCTTACATGGCACTCTCTCCAACTGTTTACTGTGAGCAACCTCCCGAATTCGTCGATCCATCTCGCCCTACTCACGTGTGCTGTCTCAACAAGGCCCTATACGATCTCAAGCAGACACCCTGAGCCCTGGTATAAGCGCTTTGCCACTTACATTACTACCATGGGCTTCACAGAATGCAAATCTGACACTTCACTCTTTGTGTACTGTCGCAACAGTTCCCTCGCCTTCCTTCTAGGCTTCTACTGTATGTCCATAACTGATAAGGAACGACAAATTGGATTGGTGTTGCAAAATAACTATTTAATTCGGAGAAGAGTTATTAATGGGCATTGGTGAAAATATGGAAAAATAAGAGTTTTCGACGAACTCAAATTGTATTTGAGTACGAAACGAACTCTATCTCAAGTGAAACGGCGCAATGAACAAAACTCATGAGTAAAGCTCATGAATCACGTCAAATTTCAGCAATCCAACATCGTTTAGACTCCTAAAAGTTCGTTTTTGCTATTTTAGGTAAGTTTTAGAAAATTAATATCAAATCATAGAAAAATCGTATTAGGATTCCGTAAATTGGGTTGTTCCCAAAATTACGAGATCTACTAGAATTAGGATTTAACTCGTTTTTGCCTTTTTTTGGCAATTTTTATTATTTTCTTAGTTTAATTAGGGTTTTCAGTTTTTTAGTATAATTAGCTGCCTTAGGACTTTATTTTGAAAAGAATTTCGAATTTTAATAAAATATTTAGAGTTTTCTCTATTTTTCTGGTGGATTCCAGAGTATTCGGTGGATTCCGAATGTTATTTTGTTCTATAAGATTAATTCCTAGAAATTAATTTTTTACCGTGCTTCCGTCCTGCGTCAGTTGGTATCAGGATATGGAGACAACAACTACGTTGGCGATGACCGCGGGGTTGAGAAACTGCAAAATATGCGGTTGGTGCGCGAGGGATTTTCCCTTGACAACAGCAACAGAAGAACTGGATCTAGCATGAGTATTGCCGACGGTGTAGCCCGAGGTGCATATGTTAGACACAATTATCATGGATCTGTTCAACTTCAATCAAGGTATGACGATTATTCAAAGGTGAGCGGCAACTCTGATTTTGAAGAAAATCCGCCTATAAAGAGGCAAAAAGATCGTGATAAATATCGGGTAAGAGCTGAAATTCCTTCTTTTAGTGGAAATTTTCTTGAAGTTGAGGATTTTATCGATTGGGTGTCAGAAGTTGAAAATTATTTTGAATTGATGGGTATTTTGCCGAATAAGATGGTAAAATTGGTTAGGTGTGAGTTAAAGGGTTGTGCAGCCGCATGGTGGGATGAAATACAGAGGAAGAGAGCTAGACAAGAAAAATTTCCAATCCAATCATGGAGTAGGATGAGAAAAATGTAGATGGATCGTTTTTTACCCCTAGGTTATGAGCAACGTCTATTTCAACTATATCGTAATTGTTCGCAAGGGAGTAGATCTGTTAACAAGTATACTGCTGAGTTTATGAGACTAGCAAACTTAAATAACCTGCAAGAATCCGAAAGTATGGAAATTTCAAGGTACTTGCAATGATTGAATATTTCAATCCGCCTTAGGATGGGGTGGGGCGCATACGACTCCCTTGAAGAGGCTGAAGAGTTAGCATGGAGCGAGGAATATTATCAGAAGCGAAATAGTTCTTCTAAAAAAATCAAAGATGTTCCACCCGTTGCCAAAGTTAAGGAGGTACAAGATACTTCGTTCGTTATTCAAGCATCCAGTTTGGTGGAGGATCATGGCGTACGAGTTAACAAAGTTGAAGAAGAAATTGTTGATGCAAAAGTTAAAATTAGCGTAGCTATGATTAATGATGACATTAACAAAATCAAGGTGAAAGCCAATGAAGTTGAAGGGGGAGTCAACGAGGTTGAAGAGAGCATCAACAAAGTCGAAGATAGCGTCAACGGGGTAGAAGAGAACGTTAGCGAGGTTGAAGAGGGAGTCGATGAGTTTCTAGAGGGTGTTAAAAATAAATTTGAGGAAGAATTTGAAGTTGTAAAATTTGTTCAAGAAGAGGAAGGTGCACGTGAAGAGAAGGAACAAGTGGATTGCGTTGAGGCATGTGATCTAATTGTAGATAGTGTTTGTTGTGAAGTTCCTGTATCGGAGAAATTGGTGGAGCCATTGAGATTTTCGATTAAGAAGCCAATTTTTCCAACGCCTCGTTTGGATGAAGATTTTGTAAGCGAGATTTTTGTGCCGGGAATATTGGTCGAGCACTTGAAGTTGTTTCGAAAGAAATATGCATCTCTATATTTTGATCATAGCTCGAGGTCGAGCTCTTTTGAAGAAGAGGAGATTGATAAGGAACGACAAATTGGATTCGTGTTGCAAAATAACTATTTAATTCGAAGAAGAGTTATTAATGGGCATTGGTGGAAATATCAAAAGAAAATATGGAAAAATAAGAGTTTTCGACGAACTCAAATTGTATTTGAGTACGAAACGAACTCTATCTCAAGTGAAACGGCGCAAGGAACAAAACTCATGAGCAAAGCTCATGAATCACGTCAAATTTCAGCAATCCAACATCGTTTAGACTCCTAAAAGTTCGTTTTTGCTATTTTAGGTAAGTTTTAGAAAATTAATATCAAATCATAGAAACATCGTATTAGGATTCCGTAAATTGGTTTGTTCCCAAAATTACGAGATCTACTAGAATTAGGATTTAACTCGTTTTTGCCTTTTTTGGCAATTTTTATTATTTTCTTAGTTTAATTAGGGTGCAAAGTGCCAATCAGGGTTAATTATAGGGTGAAAAACGCAATTCACCCACTAAATACTACTAAAATGAAATTTATTAAAATAAAGGAAGTCCTGTTCTAAAGCAGCGACTTTATTGAAATCAATTGAAATCGCTACTACAGGATGCCCTTTGGATAAAGAAAGGTTCAGCACTAGAACGGCGTCGTTTTCATGACAACAGTACAATTCTGCATCTCTATTAGTATTATTTGTAATAACTAGGGTTCCTTTCTTTACTCAATCGTCCCCGGCAAGAGTTATTTCCGCTGCAGTGGGGTTTCAGTTTTGATCTACGACAAAATTTAGGTCGCACTCATGTATGGGCACAGAGGGTAAGCCAATCGAACCTTTTATTTCCTTTTTTTCATTTTCTTTTTTGATATATTTTCAGATCTCTGCTCGGTATATTATTAAATGGGGGTTTGTTTGATTCTTGTGTTACGATTAATAGGGTTTATATTTATCGAAATTCAGTAATAATTTGATGATTGATTTCCGTACAAGAAGGATAATTTTGTGAATTGAAGCTTTTCGTTTTGAATTTTGATTTTGCTAATAGATTTTAAGCTGGACGATAAATTGTTAATTTAGTAGATTGCCAATTTCAAATTGAAAATGTTATACACCCACATGTTCTAGGGTCGATTAGTTATTTGCTCGTTTTACCGGAAATGGATAAATTGTGCTTTATTGTTTTGGGGGCAGATGGCTCATAATCTTTAATAGTTGGGTAGAGTTGTTTGTTTCTGATGTGTCCAAAACATTTGTTTCTCTCACTCAAACATTGTTGTATATCTGCTCAAGTTCAATTTTTTAAATAGAAAACGTTTTGCAAGATTTTCACATGTTTGGGTAGTTTCGGTAAATGTACTTCAAAATGTGTGTTAAATGAAATAGATGTTTTGTTTTTCTACTACAAATGTCTTTTGTTTAAGCTTCTGTTTGTTTGTTTAGTAATGTAAAGTTCAAATTGATTTTTTCTATATTAAGATGAAGATTTGATGATATATATATTTACATATATTGATTGGAAGATGTAAATGTATGTCTCTTTTTGCCGATGTCATGATCATAATGATATATCTAGATATAATACTACGAATTGCGTTGCGGATGTTATGAATATGTGTTATTTCTTAAATCCTTCTTGGAATAGAATTTGTCAGTTTCCCAGCTCAAATGGCGTTGCCGTTTGTTTTCTATAAGGTTGTCCACATGTATATATCCGATACACGTTTTACATATCCACATATGTATAAATTGGATATATTCATCGTTTTCTATTAAATTTAGGTGATCTTGCAAGCGAGTCACTTTACAACTGGCTGACATACTTAGTTAATATAGATTTAGATCGATATTTTCTGTTTCTTGGTCTCGTCTGCTACCATATATTATGTTTAGAATTTATTTTCAATCACACCGTTGTAGTTACTTAGGTTCTTAATATAGAAGTAGAAAAAAAAGAATATTAGGAGAAAATAAAATGGGTTGGGATTGGCATTAATAGAAGTGGGATTTTTTTCCTCCCTTGGGTTTGTGAATAATTGAAGGTCGTTGTTTGGGAGCGGGGGGGTTTCGGACGGGTACGAAATCGGCTCAAAGAGGCCAAGATTGATGGAATCAAATCCCTACTTCGCAGCAAACCCAAGTTCAAGCAGCAGTTATCAACAACAGTACAACCCCTACAGCAGGAGGTACCACCACGAGCCTTCCACCTTCCCATTGGTCCGCCTAAGGGGTCTCCCCTTCAACTGCACCGACGTAGATATTTTCAAGTTCTTCTCTGGTCTTGACATTGTCGACGTTTTCTTGGCCAACAACAAAGACGGTAAATTCTCCGGAGAAGCGTTTGTTGTATTTGCAGGTCACATGCAAGCCGAACTTGCACTTCAAAGGGATCGCCAAAACATGGGAAGAAGATACGTGGAAGTGTTTCGGTGCAAGAAACAAGAGTATTATAATGCTATTGCCTCTGAGGTGAGCGACGGGGCTTATGGTAATTCCGATCATCATAATCATAATCATAATCATAATCAACGTGGGTCCCCACCACCTACTACGACTAGTGCTAGAAGAAAGAGGTCTCCGAATAAAGACGAAATGGAGTATACGGAGATTTTGAAGCTGAGAGGGCTGCCTTACTCTGTAAGAAAATCGGAGATTGCAAAGTTTTTTGGGGAGTTTGAGGTTGTGGAGAACAAGATACAGATTGGGTGCAGGCACGATGGGAAGCCTAGTGGAGAGGCGTTTGTGGAGTTTGCTTCGGCTGAAGAGGCTAAAAAGGCAATGTGTAAGGATAAGATGCTGATTGGATCTAGGTATGTTGAACTCTTTCCTTCGACACCCGATGAAGCTAGATCAGCTGCTTCCAGATCACGTAAGTAAGATCAGATCGTCGCTGTGTGGATTGATTTTCTTAAAAAAATACCGTGTGTGATGTTAGCTGAGAGTCGTCCTTTTTTTTTTCTTTTGTAAGGAAAGAAATCTGTATTTTGAAATTTAGTTGTCTCTCTTCCTAAGTATTTGGTGTTTGAAAATTATAAACTCGGCATTTCGTTGCTTCTTAGCGGAGTTATTTTGTCGAGACATATGTGCCCTTTGGTTTCTCTAATGAATGAATTTGTTTAATTGACACAATTGGTGGTTTTTTGTTTTGATGAATTGGTGGTTTCTTTTGATATCATAAGATTTAATTATCATATGTAATTTTATGATCTGCAAATTTGTAATATAATATACATGAATACTTAAAAAGAAATGCATTGAATCTATTACTTATTTAATTAGAAAATAATACAAAGGATCAAATAGAAATGGTCAGTAATAATGATGTATATTCTATGTATGATCAACTGATATATTTTTGTACTCGAGAAAGTTGCGAATGCCACAAACCATTACTTCAGCACTAAGTTAATTGGAAAGAATGGCCGAAAAAGTCCCTGTGTTAAAAATATTGCAAACTCCTTGGCACACTGCACCCTTCACTTCTAGGCAAACGTGATGGGCAACCGGTTTAATGGGTTGCGAGAGGGGCAACTTCGTCCTTTTACATGTACCTGTACACATGGTAAATCGATCAATGAAACACTTACTGGGAAAAAAAATAATCGATGAAACAGAGAAACAAAAAAGCCCTAACATTCTCTTCAACTCCTTCCAAAACGATCTTTACTTCGCCCTAATACGCTATTCTATTGCTATACTCAAGAATGGCTGGAGAATCTACACATGAAATCGAGAATGAGATAATATTTGACATACCTTCGATTTATCAATCTCCACACCCTCGTAATACATTTTTTTCATTTAAAGATTTATTTATCTAAAGTATTACCTACTATACATAAAAATATTACATTAGCTAAAAAAAACCCTAATTCTTAAGCGGACAAAAAAATTCTCTATTTTTTTAGTCCAGCCAAAATGAACTATAACACTCAAGTTGTTTTTTTTTTTTTTTTTTTTTTTTCTTTTAATTTTTATATATATTTATAATGGCCTATTCAACAAGTTGTTTTTATATATATTTCTCTATAGGGAGTTTTTATATATTTATATATATTTCTATATAGTATTTTTCTATCAGCAGTTTTTCGTTCAACAATATTATTATATTCCTCTGCTAATGTGTACGAGCAAGTTAGCAAGACAGAGAGTTACACTACTCTGCATATTTAAATTACCATTCCTAGCATATTAAATTTATTTAATTTATTTTATAATTTTACAGAGAGTTTGACAGACATTGCGGAAATTGACAATAAAACTGATGAAAATGAACAAAGCAATGGAGAAGAAACTCATGACAATGAGTCTATGTTTAGTGATGGCTTTGAAGATATTGACTTTAAATATGATGACGTCTTCTATGATGAGAATATTGATAAATAGATTGAATGAGTTGGTATCCACGAAGAATCGTTCAAAGAACTTGATAAAGGCAAGTGAATTTATTGAATATCAAGCTACCGAGTAATTTAGGCCTTTAAGTAAGAGTCATTTATCTGCAAAAGCTAAAAGTTTAAAGTATCAAGTATAAATCGGTTACAACTTGGGTGTATCAATCCCAACCTCCCATGGATGACTATCTGGCACCTTAAGGCAAGTCCTCGGATTAAATTTTTTACTTGGCAACTCATCCATAACAATGTTCCTACCAAAGATTTTTTATACAAAAAACAATGTTTACTTTACAATACTTGCCATTTTTGTAAATCCGAGCCATGAACTTGTACTCATCTTTTCACTCAATGCCTTTTCTTCCAACCCCTCTTTCGTCGAATACCTTTTCATAACAGTAATATTGATATTAAACTTCTGTATTTCTCGTTTAATCTGAATAAGCTCATCATGACAATTAAGGATCAAATAACAACTCTTTACTAGATTATATTGAAGGATAGAAATGAGGCGTTATTCCAAATAAACCAACATGGCTTAATCATATATAGAACTTAGCTAAAGAAGGGCAAGGGAATTTCGAACTACAACAACAACCATACCAGCAGATCATCGCTCTTCGATGGGACCCTCCTCCCAAATCCTGGTACAAATTAAATATAGATGGGGCGTCCAAATCTAATCATTGGCAAGCTGGCATAGGTGGAATCATCCGCGATCATAAGGGTCAATTGGTTGCGGCCTTTACTAGAAACATTGGCATTGCGTCTAATAATAAAGCGGAAATATGAGCATTTCATGATGCGCTCAAACTTGCTTATGAATTTGATCTAAACCGTTTGATTATTGAAAATGACTCTCTCATGTTGCTTTCATGTCTTTCCAGGAAAGAAACGATGCATCGAGAATTCGTCACCCTCCACGAGGAATCATGGAGGATGTTGATTAACTTTGATGCTGTCTAAGTCCAGTTTGGCTACAGAAAAATTTATGAAGCTGCTGATTCATTAGCAAAAATGGGATCTCTTTTGAAGCAGAACAAAGCTATATTTTTTTTTGGATAATCCCCCTAGTTAATATTTTGGAATGCAATATGTATGGTAACTATTCTCGAAGATGTACTATTCCCTGTACCAAAACTCTTATTTTGAAGTAGTAAAATTTTGTGTTTTCTGTTAAAAAAAAAATGATGCAGAAGAGTCAGATTTTGAATTTGAGGTAGGGTTATGTTTCAAAACTACTACAGACTTCGGGGAGGCTATGAGAAAGTATTTGAACAAGCAAGGGAGGCCTATTCGTTCAAGAAGAACTGCAGTGACAAAGTTCAAGTTATTTGTGTATGTGGATGGATTATTTATGCCTCTTTTATATCTAAGATTGACAATACCTTCCTAGTCAAGTCAATTAAGACATTGCACTTCTAAATTTCTTGCAAAAAAGTATCAGCACCACCTTAGAAGTAATCCCGAGTGACATGCTGGTTCAATGCAAGAAATAATGCATATGGAAAATCACACTTTTTTGTCCATTTGGAAGATGTACAATGCAAAGAAACATGCAACAAATCTTAACCAACGCACAAAGTTAGAGCAATATGCTAAGTTGTGGCAATACTGTGAGAATTTTTTAAGAAACAATTCCGACACAACAATAAAGATTAAGTGCAAGTATGTTGCAGTTTATGAGATATGTCAATTAAAAATAATTTATATTTTTTGGGGGGCCTTAAAGAAAGGGTTCAATGCAGGATACAGACCAATTATAGGTTTAAACGGTCCATACCTGAAGAATTAAAGATGTGGAGTTTTATTATGTGCAGTGGGTATAGATAGAAATAAAAATATGTATCCTATTGGATATGCTATAATTTTGAAAAAAAAAATAGAAAATCTTGGGAGTGGTTTGTGAGTCTTCTCATCGAAGATTTGGAGATGAGAAACAACTATGGATGGAGTATCATTTCTGACAAGCAAAAGTGGTTGATCGAACAGTAGATGATTTGTTACCACATTTTGAGCACATATTTTGTCTAAGACATATGTACAATAATTTCAAGCAAAAGCACAAGGGTTGGCAGCTAAAAGATTGTTTTAGAAAGTTGCTTCAACAACTAGAGTTGTGGATTTCAATAAGGAGATGGAAAAATTGAAAGCATGTGATCGAGCTCCTTATGATTGGGTAAGAGAAATACCACCAATGAATTGGGCAAATTCTCACTTTAGTACCTGGCCGAAGAGCGATTTATTGCTCAACAATCTCTGTGAAAAGTTTCAACAAGATTATCCTAAAAGCACGTGATAAATCTATAATAACCATGTTGGAGAACATCGTGGTGATTATGATGAGAATAATTCATTCTCAAAGGGATAAAGTGAAAAATTCAATGGATACATTTGTCCGTCAGTGCAGATGACCTTATAAAACAACAATAAGAAAGCACACGAGTTTATTTTAGAGTGGAATGGTTATGATAAATTTGAAGTAAGAATGGGTTGGTGATCATTGGACAATTGATTTGACATTAAAAACTTGCAGTTGCAGAAAATGGGACATCTCTTGAATTCCTTGTGTCTATGCTACAACTTGTATCATTTATAGAAGGATGTTGTGGATTATGTTGAGCATTGGTACTAACGATACATTTTTGAAAGCATATTCGTAGATGCTCAACCTTTTAAAAGAGCAAAAAGAATGACCTGATTCTACAAAAGTTATGCAATTAACAAAATAATGCCTACAATGCTTAAATGCATATTTTCATTTAAATAGAACATTTATTTTACTAAATAGATAATTATGTTTCTTAGATAGAAGCGAATCTTCTAGTGATCTATTATTCTAAAATCGAGAACATAACGTCCCAAACAAGGGGAGAACTCAGAAAAAACTACTCTTTTAAAAATGGAGTGTAACTTACCGTAAGCTCTCACAAAGTGGCGAAGCCACCCTTTGGCAACAACAGGGTCTAGCCCCTGTGAAATTTTATAAAATCTACTACATATAGCCTATTACATATTTAGTGTCCACCCAAATAATCTCATTTAGCCCACGCACCAAAGCCAAAAAGATTTTTTATTAGAATTAATTTTCCGTGTCTCTTTATTCAAGTTTTCTTCTGCTACGGCGTAAGTTCTCTCGCAGGAAAAGTATCCACCAACCAATATGAAAAAAACATAAGGACTTCAAACTATTCCATTATAATGTAATTTGTTTTCCAGTTATGATGCAAATATGACTATAGAAGGACTATGATTTAATTAATTAATTTTGATTAAGAAGGAATTTAATAGTACTTCATTATTTATTATGTTACCTGTAGTTTCAATTTTAGGATTCTAAGTATTTCTTTTATCAATTTTAATGGAATTTTTCTGTTGATTTCAAGGAGTTGCGGAGTTGATGAATGCCAATGTATATATATATATATATATATATATATATATATGGGGAAATTGGCTAGACACCCCTTATTCTAGACTTATATAGGTGGAGATCCATTCAATTAGATGAATATAGGTGTAGGTCCTTCATTAATTAAAATTAATTAAATTATTTATGTATAGACATAGATACCCCCAATTAATATTTTTATGTAATTAATTAATTTTAAAAATTAAGGAAACAAATCTCATAAATCTCTCACTCTCTCTCCTCTCCACACCACACAACACGGTTACAACTTACAACTCTCTCCCCTCACCCACACGCCCCTCTCTCTCTCTCTCTCTCTCTCTCTCTCTCTCTCTCTCTCTCTCT